ATTTGATAGTGCAATTGATGCTATTAGTGTCCCCGATACAAATAAACACATGAATTACAGGAATCACTAAAACACACGCTTTAATCCAATCTTTTTGTCTTAGTATATAAATCAACAATATTTTATAGTCGTTTTATTGACGTAAATGCTATTTCAGACAACAACCTTATACATCGCATGAAATACTTCACAAAAACATCACATGGGAATTCGCAATGATGCAAAAAGAAGCCTGTAAAGTGTCTCTGATACAAATACAAAGATTAGAATTCTCCTTTAATCCCCTTAAACACTGTGATCACAGAAACTGCTATTTCGCAAGAACAGTCGTATGCCTGCAAGTTACACTCTTTTCCGAGTGACAGATAAAGAGAGTATCATACACATTTTCTTGCAAACTATGGGAGTTGTGCTAGACATTCGTACCTGTACTATCGTATGACATTATCATCCAATGTTATGTTATACTTACAGAGATAGCAACACTTTGATTAGCAACATATTTCGAAACTATGAAATTGAGAGTTGCCAGTGGTTCAACTGCCATAGGGGCTGGTTGAACCAAGTTCAAGGAGCCCGATATCTCAGGGGGCCCACCCACAGAGAAAATGTAGGAAAAATGTTAAAAAGAAATCTCGGGGAAGGGGCTCCAACCCACTCTAGTCCACGCGAAATTGTAGGAGGCCACCCACTCCCGCAAAAAATTTATGAAAAATGTTTTAAAAAATCTCGGAAAGGGACCAAACCCACTAAGTCAAAAACGCGAAAATGTAAGAGGCTCCCACCTTCGCAAAAAAATTAGGAAAAATGTTCAAAAATTCCCGGGAAAGGGGCCCCAACGCACTCAAGCGAAAATGTAGGAGGCCACCCACCCCCGCACCCAAGCGAAAATGTAGGAGGCCACCCAAAATTAGGAAAAATGTTCAAAAATTCCCGGGAAAGGGGCCCCAACGCACTCAAGCGAAAATGTAGGAGGCCACCCACCCCCGCACCCAAGCGAAAATGTAGGAGGCCACCCACCCCCGCACCCAAGCGAAAATGTAGGAGGCCACCCACCCCCGCAAAAAATTTAGGAAAAATGTTAAAAAGAAATCTCGGGGAAGGGGTTCCAACAAACATAAGTCCACGCGCCCCCTCACCTAGTTGATCCACTGAGAGTTGCCTATCGTTAATATTCCCATCAGCATGGATACCTTATCACCATCATTAGAATTGTAATATCTTATATCATGGTATCCTCTATTACAATTAATTAGCGGGAAATCTTACCGTGTTAAGAAACAGTCTACACATCAGTTCATGATAATGAAAATATCCCCGAGGTCTTTTCGATCTATTAACCTCACAATATTAGGAAACCATAGAATAGACCATTTGCATTGTCCTTGTATTTGTACCCCAATTTCTTTATTATAATATCCTTCATTTCCAATATAGAGATCGTAATCTTACCGTGAGATGAAAATCATCTTCACAGTGTCCAGCTATTGTAAACTTCGCCTTATACCTTGACTGCTATAGCCACCTTTCTTGTATTACGGACTTTGTCAATGCAACGATTTGATTGTACGCTACCGAATACAGTCAATAAAGTCTTCGACTTTAAGAATGTAAACTTTATGGCTTGTGAGAGCTCTCACTGACTATATTCGCTACCGTACAATCCTTGGAGTATATCAATCTATACTTCTTCGTACAATCTAATCAAATCGTTGCATTTACAGACTTTCTGTCGAGTGCTCTCATTAGCTGTATTCGGAACGCGTACAATCTTCCAGGATACAAGAAAGGTGGCTATTGCAGTCAAGGTATAAGACGAAAGGTATAGGTCATAATAGCTTGACATTGTGAAGATTGAGGAGAATATAATCAGAATACAAAATTGAATTTTTTCATCGACCATAATCCCGATATCAATCGATTCCTTAATCCTTTTATAAGATAATCAATCAAAACAAACATTACAGATTAGCAACATGTGGATCCATCAGGTGTTTTAACAACTATTGGCTGTCGATTTAAAAACAGGTTTTTTTAAAAGAGATTGTAAAGAGTTTTTCTGAACTTTCTATGTGTATCGGGAACACTGATAGCATCGAGGTTTTATTGTTTTAAAGGGATTGTAAAGAGATTTTCTAAATTAATTAAATCTATCTAACACTGATAGCATCAATTTGTACCGGTCCAATTTTCAATCAGACGTTTGCGGTTCTTGCAATTCCACTAAAACATGGCATTTTATGGCCTTACTATTGCAAACTGTGTTCAGTGTGCCCGATAAACAGGAAAAAACATTTTATTAGTCTTTATCCTTTCCTTATCCATCATGAAACTATGTAGTCAAGTGAAGGGCTGGGCTACCATTAAATGTAGAACTGCCGTCTGTTTATAAATTGTTTCTGAAGAAAACATTATATCTGATTGTATTTACACAAGTCCTGAAATGCCAACTCAATGAAATTCTTGATTCACTTACCTGATAACTCTGTTACTACCCATTTCCCCAGTAGTGATATGCACGTGTTTTTCACGGGAGTTATTCTCAACCCACTTTTGGGTCGATAGTTTTTCGGAATTTGCTACTAGACATTAAATGTGTGACTCCAAACAGTGACGATTCGTATATCACTCCGGAAGAACTGGGTAAGACCAGAGTTGTCGGACTTCAGATGTCATCATAAGAAACTATGTATGGTTCTTACATGGAAATAGGACCGTATTTAACAACCATTTTAAATCTCTTCAGCGATGATATTTGGAATTTTTTAAAAAGGTTACAATATTTCAACTAAACCTTCAAAACACATTTAAAGATTTAGAACATAGCTTTAATTGTGATTTGAAGGCTTAGTTGAAATATTATAATCTTATATCAAAATTCGAATTATTAAGTCTAGGAAAATATTCAACATGGTTCAACCTACGTTTCATGTAAGAACCATACGTAGTTTCGTATTTGAGCATCATGTTTATATTTCCATATTTTCTATGATTGTACATGAATGTATGTATATTGTATATAGCTCTGTCTTTATATCATATAAATGTTGAAAGCATTAATTCTTATCAAAATGATCGCAAGGAAACATATTACATAGTTTATTGCTTCTAGATTTTTGTCATACATAACAATAATAATATTTATCAGATTTTCATCGACCATAATTCCAATATCGAGTTGTCTAATCCTCTTTACAGGAAAATCAATGAAAAAACAAACATTACAGATTACTGTCAGGTGTTACGATCTCGCCTTATATGAATAACAAACTTTGTAATGTCAGGTTACGAATTAGTGTGCTTAAACAATTCAAGTTGCTTTATATTGACTTCCGTCTTCTTAAAAGCCACGGTTCGCCATTTTTAGGGGTTGATTAAGGACTTGAATATGAGTAAATGGTCTTCAGAGATACCAGAACTGCACGAAAATCGCATAATCCCTTCGCAAAAACCTCTAACTATTATATATTCACAAGCTTATCCCAATTCTAAAAATTGGAGTATCGGAAAGTTGTACGTCTTGTTGATAAGTTCTATAAGAGAAAATACCATTGTGCAATAATTTTTGATTTACCAAGTCTTTAAAGTTGTTCAATATGGAGGTTCTTAAAAACAAACATGGAAAATTAACATTATTATACACATGGAAAGGAATGCTAAAGTTACAACGGTAAGCTGCGAATACTATTACTGATTAGTTTAGTGGCACAATTCTCTGTTTTTAGATCAAGGTATGATTGATCCCCGAAAATAACAAACCTGTAGAAGTCGACATTTACCTTTCCAAATCGCGATACAAAGAGACAATACACAGATCGATAGAATCAAAGGGTAGACGTGGATAGTGTAATCAGTGGCGGGGCCAAAGGGGGTTACCCGCCTCCCCCGCAGCGCCGAAGCCATGTTTTTCGGGCAAAAAACTAGGTTAGAAATTCGGGCAACCTCATGTATTTCGCCCCTCTTCGCACGTAAACCTGACTCCGCCACTGAGTGTAATAGTCATCCCGGATCATTCAAGATATAATGAATGACGTCAGGTGTCGGCGGAAAGTGTTAGCACCAAATGTGCGACATGTATCAGTTAAAGGGATAATTGTAAGGGGGTTTTCTATAATTTGTACGTGTATTGGGGATACCAAAAGCATCCATTTGCATCATTCTAATTTCCAATTCCACTAAAAAACAAGTGTTTGATTACGTCACTAATCGCGAAATATGTACATGTATCACATAAATCTCTTCGCAATTAGTGACGTCATCAAACACTTAGTTTTATTTAATTGCAGGTACCACAGATATCTGATTGAAAATTGGATTATGCAAATTGATGCTATCAGTATCCCAGATACACATATAAAAGTTTAGAAAACCTCTTTATAATCTCTGTAAGGTGACATCATTGTCCTAATGGACAACATTTGTTCAAATCAAGGTATCAAAAATATACTTTTAAAGAGGAAATTAAATAGCAATTACTTTCAATGAGGTTGCGCAATTTAATTAAGACAATCGCTTAAAAATATGTGATTCTTTACTATTCGAAAAGTTATGTGATATCGCCATTTTGGGGGTTGATTTTAATATTAAATATTTGTAAATAGTCTTCAGAAGTATTAGTAAAGTACGACAAACACTCAATTCCTATAAAAAATACTTCAAACTAGGAATTTTACTAACTTGTCCCATATATGTCCATAAGTCTGGACACACGTGGATTTGAAGGTTTCAATTTCGACGATGAGCTTTGAACACTATTCCTGATTGGCTTAGCTAAAAAAAATTCCCGTTTCTGAGACTAAAGTATGATTGGTGAAAACAATGGCCTACCTGTTACTTTAAAACAACACAATATTGCTGTCTCTTTCAAAAAATTTTGACCCCCCCCCCCCCCCCGAAAAATTAGAACAAAATTTCAATTGGGGGGGAAATAACCCTTTTTCAGCTTTTGCCCCCCCCCCCCCCCCCAAATTATTGACTTGTATTTTTATCTAATTTATTCATTTTTAAAACTTTCCAATTTTTCCCGACTATTTCTGAAGTTTTCGTTTACTACTTTATCACTTCACTACGATTTATTCTGATGCAATTTGTTTTACAAATATATTAAGAAAAGGAATAGAGAAACATTCATAATTTACCAGGATATTAGCAAAGTTCTTGAGAATCCTGTCTACTAGTTAACAAAAGATATGTTAAAGTTCCTAGATTATCAAAAATCTTTATACATACTGGTTGTTGTATACGAATTTTCTCCTAGCGAAATTATTCCATTCCAACATTTATTCATTTATGATTTTCACGATATAAGCTTATGTTTCTTTACACTTAACAGTGAACAATCAATTCGAGGTTTTGATCACAAGAACACAAACTGTACAAAACCAAGATATCTACTGGTGAATATCGAACTACTTACTATCACTAACGACCCACGCTCTCATCAAGTAACTAAACAACTAAATACTGGACTATATCGTCAAGGCATAATGAACCGTATTCTGTTCTAGCAACAATATGAATGCGCATGAAAAACAACGGTAAACTATTACTAATACTAATGACTGTTATAAAACTGGAATGACTGTAAATTTCACAGGGACTCGCTGAAAAAATTCTGTAAAGACACATTGTCCCATTCGAAAGCCATGCACGACCCACTGGACTCTTATATAACATCATTGCATAATGAACAGTATTCGTTTCGTTCAACAATATGCGCATGGGAATATAATAAGAAACTAATACTACAAATGACAGAAATACTAGATGACCGTAAATATCACAGGGACTGGACGTATGAATTTCAGAGTGGTGAAAAATTCCGTAAATCACAATCAAAGCTTCCGAAACTCGATCCGGGGTCGGCTTTGTACCTCCTAATATCTTAACCAATATAAATAAACATTTTATAACGCATACGTCCCGTCCTTGTGATAATTATTATTACAAACCTATCTTCTTGTATCTTCTCTTTCAATGAAGAAACATTCATACTTCTATTTCAGAAATATGGAATCTAACAATCTTCCAAAATCTGTGATTATTATAATTACAAGTCAAATTATATATTCACCTTTAAACTTCTAAAATGCAGAAATTTGGAAGCTTACAATCTTGTAAATTTATACTCTTAACACACATAAAATTTTGAATTGTCCCTGTTTTGTAAAAAAATCGTGAAGAATCTATGATTATTATAATTATAAACCCGTTTTGCAAATTTCTGAAATGCCAACAGATAGAAAGCTTGGATTCTTCTAAATTGATATCCAAATGAAAGATTTAAATTTGTCCACATTTCTTAATATCTGTCAAGTTTCTGTGATAGGTTTAATTACAAACCGTATTCTGTCGTCAGCTTGTGTTTTCTAAATTGTTAAAATGCTTCGATCGTTTTTCGTTAAATTATACTTGAACTCATAGAAAGAAATCAAAACTTAAATTCGTCCTGAATTCTTAACGTTTTTGTCAAGAAGCTGTGAAAATCTTAAAAACAAACCTTATTCCTTCCCGTTTTGCAAATTTCTGAACTGCGAAGAAACACCGAAGCTTCGATTCTGCTCCTTTACTTCCTTTTAAATTCCACCAACTGACTGGTTGTTTTTACAGTTAATTTATCAACAGATAAGTTTCAAAATGTCTATGTAGCCTGAAGCAATTCTGTTTGAACGTGTTTTAATGACAATTACCATTTTCTATTAGTTAAAAATCTCTTGATAGTCTACATGCCACGTAAATACCAATTGAAAATAGTTGACATTCAGCGATAGGCAACATATTCAAAACCCCACATTTTTTATAGTTCAATAAAGCACATAGCAAAGTCATAAACACGACGTTTCAGTAAATAACACAATTTCTTTATGAGACCAAAACCTTTATTATGTATGACATTTAGTGTTAAACGTCATAAATTCAAAAGAGCATCATTAAATGCGATCCATATACAATACACATGCAATTCATCGACACGGCATTTCGAAAATTCACTCTGATTGAATTCCAGGCACATTAACAAGATGTTTCGGAAAATTACAGCACAGGGCATGGGTGAGGAATCGCATAATCACGTTTTTCCAACATACATAATCTATAAATTTATTCTATCTATTTCAGATGTCACACATGTCTGACTTGTTCAAGGAAACACCTTCAACTACATATAGTCTCAGCGAAGTAAGAAAACAGTCCGTGTTGCTGTCAGAACTTCACGGTATCAATATTATAACACTCACTTTATAGTGGCCACATTCTTGACAAATACACGACTGTGTCTGACTTTCTTTGGTTTTTCTCATTTTGATTTTCTACACTAGGGACGTTTAGAAAGACTTGCAGCAGCATGGTGTGTTTATTTACGAGTGTTTATTTCCAGGATTATCCGTTGCCATATATAGCGACATACAACGATTTGAAAACCTCTTTTAAGTCTCTTCTTTCCATTATCATAAACAAGAGTGGTTTTCGTGCAAAAAAATCTCAATAAGCCATTATCTGCAGTTTCACTCTTTTTAGTCCTTACAACCTTTCATTTCTCATTACCACAATATGTCATAAAGGAAAGAGTATGTCAGGGATAAAAGAAATATATCCTTTCACAAAAAACTTGTTATGCTGTTATCTGTAAAAAAAAAATCGTCTTCAGGATTTTCGGCTTTCAAGAGATATTCATTTCGGATTTTTCTCACCGAATCTTATTAAAATAGGATTACAATTTCGTCACTTTTTTCTGATATTTTATTTCTTCATTATAATCTAACAATTTTCCAATGCAGACCTGATTTAATGACGTTATCTTTTAACCAATCAAATCTTGTCACGTAGGACCCGTTTATTAATATTGATGAGCGGGGAGCAAAGCCCCGAAATGCTGTCATATTGCTATCCCATAATCCTCCACTGTTATGACAAAAACGTCCTCCGAGACAAGCTTTTAATGTAATCAGAACAAGGTGTCAGTGGAATGCTTGTCAGATTATAAAGATGTGAGAAGAAAAAAATCAGAAAAACATAAACCAAATTGTAATATAATTTCTCTCATAGGGTTTGAAATATTCCGTATTTCAGATTTAGCTGATAAGCCACTGCGACCCTCGAGAATAACTACACAGAAAAACTAAAGTCCATAGTATTTAGTACTATACCATAGTAATCCAAGATAAGCCTACGGTGGATAAGTTACGGAACATCTTAGTCCTGTTTTGTTTTAAAGATTATTTATTTGTCATATTACTAAATATTAAGAATCGGAAAGAAACAACTATATTTTACAAGTATAACAACCGTTCACAATTAGGGATACTTTCTACCAGCTGGTCCTTAGACAAAAATGTAAAGAAACATTGTTTTGTCTGGTACCAACAGTGTGGTTTTGTCCCTTGACGATTTAAAAGTCGCAAGTGTTAGAAATTCATGTACCAAATACACAATACAAGCCATGTAAGACCCTCCGTGGGGAATGCCAAGTCGCTTTAAAGGGACAGATCTGCCATTTGTTGAAACATGTGAACCTTAATCTCAGAAACGGGAATATGTAGCTAAGCCAACCAGTAATAATGTTCACAGCTCACCATCGAAATTTGAGCCTTCAAATCCATGTGTGTCCAGAATTATCTGTGATTGAATGTTAAAATGACGACTCGTCAATTTAATATACTCTGTGATATGTAGAAGAGACATTTATAGAAATAGTGAGTAAAATTACTAGTATTTTTAAAGGAATTATGTTGTATCTAATACTTCTGAAGATTATTTACATAATACACCTTTCCCTTTAAGTTGTCTCAGAAGATTGAACAATGGACATTATTATTCTTTATTTTAACGGGGGAAATTTTTTGAGATTTTGGACTTGGACTCCTAAAGGGACAGATTCGCCATTTTTTTGGATTTGGGTCTTGAATATAAGTATCAATATATAGTCTTCAGCACTAGAAATGTAAGGAAATCGCACACTTCAAAATGACCACAAACTAAGGAATGTCATGAAGAGTGATTGGCTAAGATAAAAAAAATTAAGTTTTTAAGACAAAAGCTCGATTGGTCAAACGAATGGCGAATCTGTACCTTTAATCTTTAATAGGTTGAAGAACAACCTCGGGAACAGTCTGGTTCACCAGGAGATATCACGGCCTATTGGTGTATAATAGATAAAGAAAATACATGAAGTTTACCAGAGACAGCAGAAACTATGTTAATCCTATGGTAATCAGTTTACATCCGTTGATAAAATATTGCCTTAGTTTACTTGTAAATCTGTTATTGTTACATCCCAAAGAAAGTTGATTTATAGAAGCCAAGTCTAAATAAATTTAATCCAAAGTTTCTTTCCGTATTTTTATTAGCTCAACCATACTAGTTAGGGCCAGTAAGGCGGCGTCGGTCTCTCTTGTCTAGGGATACAAATAGGGGGCAGACTGACTCATTGGAGGGACAACTGTCGAGGTTGAATTAAAAATGCGGCAAGTCTGTGGAGGCGTCTTGTAGCAATCTGTTATAGAGTGTCTGCATGAGAGGGTTCTCTCAAGAAAATTTTCAGAAAATTTAATTGATTTAGTACAATCTGACTATATAAAAATCATGTTTTTAAATTTGTTAAAAATATATCGGGGTACAATTGGAGGTGCAAATCATATTTCTAGGGGAGCAAATACCCCCACTGAGGCCGTTATTAGTTAAGGTCTAACTTCATAAGCTGCTACCATACCGTTGTTTTGGATTTTGGGATTCGTATTTCGGTTCGGAGCGTTAGTTAGTTTAATTATTATAACCCTTGGTTCATTGGTAGATGACGAGTTAACGTTCGCTTCCAGCGGATGCTGATATCGCTAACTAGGTAGTTGTTGGTAGTCGTAGTAGTTAGGAGTTGGATTGGTTCAAATTGGATGATGCAGTGTTGTTGGTTTGGTTGTATTTGCTTCGTAAGATCTGGTCGGATCGGTATAACCCCTTATTTTTTCGTATAAATACCAAGTGCCCCAACCTGATGACTCTTCTTAAACCAATCGAATTACACCGGTCTAATTCCGAACAACCAAATAAAAAGGATGTTTCAAGAGCGTTCGACACATTTCAATCTAATCGAAATAAGATTAAACTTTCTTATCGTTATTAATATTTTATGTCGGTCTACGAGAGAGAGACTGGCCAAATATAATAATCTAATCTAATTTTAATCAGATTGGCAAAATTTAGTCCAATTCGTCACCTTTTGATCGCGTCACAACCACAGCGTTGGAGAGGGAAGACATTTGATTGGCTGGCGGTGTTATGATTCAGAATTAAGTTATATAGAGAAGTTGTCAGGCCCTAACTGAGGTGGTTCACTAAAATAAGCAAACAAATGGAACGAATGGTTGGTCTAAATTAACAAGACTGATATACGCCTATTTAATACACATTGTATTGTCCTCATGGACTGAATGTTAGACAACATCATGTCCTTAGTGTATTGGACATAATCCTGTCCCATGTAAAATAAAGAGTCTATGTTTGTCTTCGTGGGCTGAATATTAGAAGGAACCATGTCACCGTGGTGTATTGACCCATATAAAGAGGTTATCATTCCATTCTTATCCGTTGTAAGGATTCGGGTATCAGCCGCAACTCTTCAATCAAAAACGTAAAGAACCAAATTTTTTTTAAAGGATTATAAGCATAAACTTGATAAGCAAAGTGTGGCAGGATATTTTCATTTTATGACTTCGATAAATGGGACAATTTGCTTCTGACTTCAATACGAATTTTCTCATATGAAAGATATTAATATATGCATCTTCAAAACTGTTCATCCGATACAAATTCGAACTTAACTGAGACCTATTTGGACGGACGGACAGGGGCGATGTCAATATATGCCCACATTTCCGCGTGGCTGTATCAAAAAAACATAAAAATTTAATCCTGATCCGATTACAGATGTCCTTTAATGAAAAGTGTAGTTTAAATTCGTGTGAAATATTGTTTATAATATACAGTCTGCTGTTTCCATATGTCATTATTATATCATTAACTTGATCAAATTAAACCTTTATGAGCAATAACTACGGAGCGTGAACCAGGTATTAAGTTTAATATTATATATTTGGTATTATATTCGTTACAATAATCATTAGATATCATCGAGACCATTTAAATATTGAAAACACAATAACAGCAAACAATATAATTATTGAAAACAATGTTGAATGTTTTTGAAGGGTCTGTCGCAGTGGGGGAGACATCGCTGCAACGTTGCGAGTACGTCTTGGAGACTGAAATAATTTTCGAAAACCCCGTCTCTCCCCGGAGAACCGGTTAGTCGCCAGGAGACGTCGCAGAGACTCGAGTCGCCAGCTTTCTGCAGACCAGTGAGACAGGTCCTTTAAATTTGAAATAAAATGAGGTTTACGTTTCACTTTTCTGTACCTAGTTGGGCGAATGAAGTTGGACAACGCCATGCAGTATGCTTTGAAGAACATATTTTGTCAAGACAGTGGTATTGGTCTTCTCTTATTTATTTTAATATCTGTTGCTTAAGTCTTTATATGAGTCTCATCTAGTTGACAATGCCTAGAGATTTGGTAGCAAGATCCTCTTGAACCTAAGTAGTTGTTCTATCCTTTCTTTCATCACAATATGACTGCATGAAACAGAATGCTATGTTTTAGAACATCAAAAATTGCCCAATTTGGTTGTATGGTTGTATGGTTTCCCGGCTGGATTGTTCAGAAAAACACCTTTCAAACTGATAACTTTCAGTGCATGCATAGTTGTTATATGACATACCATTTACGTTACATAGAAAATGTCAATATTAATGAATAATGATTGATTTACAGTGGAGATAAAATTACATTTATTCTCATGTGTGGTATATTTGGATGTCGTCTAATTTCATTCGAGACCTACTAACGATATCATCGCTCAAATAGCAACGCCCCAAATAGTGTTAGGACTATTTTTAATAAGTTGGTTATCAACTATCAAACCAACAGTACAGAATCATCCAATTTGAACAGATCATAAAGGTACTGCGACCATCGACAATTACCTAGTAGGCGATATCAGCATCCGTTGAAAGCGAACGTTAACTTGTCATGTAGGTTGGTTGGTAAATGTCCGCTTCCACCTTTTTTTCAACTTTGACAGACATGTAGAAAAGAGGTGTCTTCGTACTTTTCTGTAAAATTCTTCTTAAAGAAGTTCGCATTAGTTCATATATTCACGGGATATTAAAGAAATTTCTCTGAAATGGTAAAAGTCGCATTCAAGACGCCTGGAGTAAATCATTCTCAGAGCGGTAACCATTTACATTACACTAGAAAGGCGTTTTAACAGCGCTGCTATTGCGACTGAAAATTGGCCCAGAGCATGCTAAAGTCGCAATATGCGTGGAATACAATGGCGAAGCCAAGGGGGATGGGGGGGGGGGGAGGCAGCCCTCGCAGCCCCGAAAGCAAGTTTTTTGGGCAAAAATCTCATAACTAGGTTAGAAATTCGGACTATCTCAGATATTTTGCAAAGGCTCCGCCACTGGTGGTATAAGCGTGTAATTGTCGCCATTGTCGCCACTATTCGCCGAGTCCCGGTGTTTAATGTGTTCAAAACAAATGCCAAGGTTCGGCGATTTGATTTGGAACGCAATGATAACTCCGTGAAATCGGGAAGGTCGTCAGACAGATTGTTTTTAAGTTTGTTTTGTTTTTGGGGACTTTTTCTTAAGTTTTCCTCACGTTTGACCACGACCTAGTATATTTCGTGTCGCTGTAAGATCGCTAATGGTTACAGTCGGTTATGACGGGCTAATATAGCCATTGATTTTTAATTTCAAATCATTACCAAACTTGAGCTTTACTATATACACTGAATAAGCGAAAGGTAGGAATTTTCAATAGTCTGATGTTTTTTTAATGTTTTACTATATAAATATGAAAAGATTTAGGCTTAAGCCTATATGGCCTATCTTCAATAGCCTGATGTCCTTCCATAGACTCCGTATAGCTAATAACGCTTATTTGTTAGACGTATTATGCAACCTGAAACTTACTGTTATATAATATTATGTGCCACATCTCAGGAGAGTAGGTTTAACTCCTCATATCAATAATTCAAAATAATATTTATACTGAATGATGATTGACACGACTTGCTTCTCATTCTAGATTTCATATAATGTTCTTCCTGTTTGAAACAAATGAATGTTTGTGCAAAACGGGACAAAAAGCATAGCAGCTCACAAAATTTGGGTTTGGCTCTCGGGTTTCATTTTAAATATATGTTAATAGTCTTGAGAAGGACTAGAGATGTACGAAAGTCGCATAATTCCTTCAAAAATATTCCAAATTTCTTTTCCTATTTCTATAAACGTCTTTTTCTATATTTATGGCAGTGTTTCAAGAAAAGACGACTCGTTCAAGGTTCAAATTTCGACGAAGAAGTGTGAACACAATTAATGATAGGCTTAGCTTAAAAAAACCGTTTCTGAGACGAAGGTATGATTGGTCAAACAGATGGCGAACCTGCCCTTTAATATGTCGATGACTAATGAATTCAATCGATGGTTGGTTGTTCGATGACAAGTTAACGTTCGCTAGGTAGTTGGTAGTCGTAGTAGTTCAAATTGGATGATTCTGTGTTGTTGGTTTGGTTGTTGATACTTCGTTAGATCTGGTCGGGTCGAATGACATGGCTGTGAAACTCGGACCTGGATGGTCTGGCGTGAGTTACCGATCTCCTTCATTCTTCCAAACTCGTTCTGATCATGGTATTTCTTGTTGATTGGTAGTCGACTGGTAGTCGTTGGTTTGGTTTGGTTAGATTATCTAATAACTGGAAGACCTGAAAAAAAGAATGTGAGAAAAGAGGGGGAAAGAGAAAGAAAATAAAAAGGGGAAAAGCTTTCAACAAAAAGGGGAACAGATGTTCTCTGATGTTTCTGCAATGAAACTTGTTACATTGATGGGATATAATTTAAAAATGTTAAGAAAATTCAATCGATTAAGAGGATGAAACATATAGATCTACGGTTAACTTTAACTTAATGTTTTTAATGATCCGGTCATTCGATTTAAATTTTACCTGTTTCAGTCATTCAAATTCCTTTACTGATTGAATCCTGTAGTGTACCGTGTTCAAACTTTTGAGGCCTTATAATAAAAATCCGTACAAGCAAGACAATTCCGTAAA